TTGCTCCTGATTTACAGCATCCGCAGTTCTTTCGGTTTTTATTCAGTTTTATACTAAGGCTGAGACAATAGCTTATGTCAAGATGGGCATGCAATGAATCCTGGCCTGATTGAGTTCTGACCCCAGAACATTCTTTATAGCCAATTAACTACTTTTATCTAACTGGCTGCTGAAAATGGCCAGAGGAGCGAAGCCAGTAGATTGAGGTGTAAATATCAGTGCTAGGCATTGGTGCAGACTGGACACTATAGTTACTAACTGGGTTTATTTACTCCCCACAGGAGAAAGGTTACCGGATGTACTTTTCATTCTTCTACTTTTCTATGAACCTGGCAGCTTTACTTGCAGGAATCATCATCCCAATCCTGAGAGGTGAGGAGGCTCAGTGAGGAAGTGAAGTGGTGGTAATGTCGCTTGGTAATCTTTGCCTGCTGATGTAAACTGATTCACAAGTTCATTCTTGTCAAACTCAGTAACAATGCTGTTGGGACAGGTATCCCTCATAAAGGAGGCCACTCAAATGCAGTTCTCCATTGTCAGCTCTGGGGTAGTGTTGACAGATGTTTGGAGATCAAACGGACCTCAATGAATTGAGATCAGTTTCCAGTAAGCATGAGAAACAGCGTGGGTGAGGACTAACCTATCCTGATTTCAAACCAACAAGTGACGCTCCACAGTCATTCACAATCTATAGAAGTGAGTGTAGTGTGTCCAGTAGAAACACTGACTTAAGTCTGAATTAAACTGAGGAAGGGACAGGTGACTACAAATACATGGAAACTGGAAAGTTAATATAGGTTCAGCCTTTGGATCTTTGAGTTTGGCCAAGTGCCTTCTAATAACAGCTGATTTGTATCCCAGAGTCTGTCATACTGAATGTAATTTATTGCAAATAAAATGCAATATAAATGCAACTCTACCACCTGATCAGAGGACTTTGCTATTTCCATTATTCCAACCTCTGACCGATATATATCACTGTCTGGCCATTGTGCACTGAAAGCTGATCTGTGTGGAATCCTATTAATTAGTATAACTAAGGTCTGATCAAGAAATGCTGGAAATACTCACCAGCTCAGACAGCATCTGTGGAGAGAAACAGAGTTTCAGGTTGACATAAACTTTCATCGAAAACAAATTTCCGAAGAAGGGTCTAGGCCCGAAACATCAGCCTTCCTGCTCCTCTGATGCTGCTTGGCCTGATGTGTTCATCCAGCTCTACACCTTGTTGTCAAAGATAGAAGTGTAAGAGTTTTTGAGCCAAAGGAATGATGGAAGGGACGGGAAGGACAAAAGGGAACTCTTTGGAGGGCAGGTGAGATTACATGACAAAAGGTTTTATGTTGCAATAATCAAAAATAGTGGTAATGGGTATACTAAAGATGTGTCCAGATACAGTGTGAATAGCAGGAGTGTTTGGGGTCTTGGATGGTAAGAAGGGAGGAAATAAAAGAATAGGTAGTGCACTTCCATTGCTTGCATAGAAAGGTGCTGTATGATTGGGAAAGCTGTGAGGGGAGGGTGACTGAGGAGTGGATAATGGAGTTGTGGGGGCACTGGACTTTTCTGGATGCTGAAAGTGCAAGGAAGTTTGTACTTTGTAATGTCATTCTGGTGGAAGTGACTGAAATAGTGGAGGACAGTCTGTTGAATGTGAAGGATCTTAGGGTGGAAGGTGAAGCCATTGGCAATGCTGTTGTAGTTCTGGCAGGGAGAAGAAGGGTTTCTAGACTGCATCAGGGATTGTTTCTTAGAGCAGTATGTTGCTCTGAGAACAGGGAACAGACTATTTCAAGTCCAGTAATGTTACTGAAATAAGATTAATAAGAAATCTCATAGTTAAGGATCCTTCATGGGGTAACAATCGCAACATAATAAAATTTCAAATTCAGTTTGAGGGAGAGTAACTGTGATGTCAAGCCAGTGCCTCCAATTTAATTATAGGAAGTTACAGAGGTATGAAGAAAGTGCTACCTGAAGCAAGCTGGGAAAATAGAGTAAGGAGAAAGTCAGTGGATGAGTGCATATGTCATAATGTTCAGCAAAATTTACTCCAGTCAAAAAGAAGGATTCAATGAGAAAGGTGAACCATCCGTGGTCAATAAGGATGGTCAAGGACAGTATCCAAACAAAACCAATGGCATTCAAAGCAGTGAAAACTAATGGTAGGCTGGAGGATTGAGTTTTGTTTAGGAACCAGTAGAGGATGACGATAGAGCTGGTAAGGAGGGAGAAAATTGATTATGGAAGTAAATTAGCAAGAAATATAAAAAACAAACAGTAAGAGCTTCTATACGTATATAAAAAAACGACAGTAGTTAAAGCAAGTGTGAAAGCCTTGGAGGATGTGATTGGGTAATTAATAATGGGGAACAGGGAAGTGGCAAATAACTTAAACCAATATTTTGTGTCAGTCTTCATGGTGAAGGACACTATAAACATCCCAAAGTTAACAGATAAACAAGGTGCTAATAGGTGGAAAGTTCTTGTTATAATCTATATCACAGGAATAAGGAATTTGAAAAATTAATGGCATATAAGGCAGACAAGTCACCAGAGCCTGATGGTCTGCATCTAACTGTTTTGGTCTCAGTACTTAAGAAAGATATTGCAGGCTGAAACAGTTGACTTATCAAAAACAGCTGAACAGGTTCAGCCTTAATTCATTAGAGTTTAGAAGAAGGAGGGTTCATCTTATTAAAACATACATGTGTCTGCAGAGGGGACTTGACAGAATAAATATTGAGAAGATGTTTCCACTAGTGTGGGCATCTTGAATTGGGGAACATAGTTACAGAAAAAGGGGACACTCATTGAAAACTGAGATGTAAAGGAATTTCTTCTCCTAGAGGGTAGTGAATCTCTGGAAACCCAAGAGAGTTGTGAAAACCAAATCACTGAAGGTATTTAAAATGGGGGAAGGTGGAGTTTTGAAATATCAAGGAGTTGATACATATGCTGACCTGATCAATGGAGTTGAGACCTGGGGCAGATCAGCCATGATTTTGTTGAGGGGCAGAATAGTCTACTCCTGCTCCTATTTCATATGTTCTTGTGTTATACCCATTGCCACTCTCTGGCTTTTACACCATGAAACCTTCGTGTTTGAATCTTTCCTGCACTCTGTGCAACATTTTGCCTTTGTGCTGTATGATCACACAGTTCTACTGTCTGGCTAGTATCCAGCAATGTCTGCATGCTGTCTCATAATATTTTTGGAGAGTGGAGTGAACATAAGTGCATTACTGTTATAATTGACAATGCTCTCTGTCTTTGCTTGCAGAGGATGTCCAGTGTTTTGATTCAGACTGCTACCCTCTGGCATTTGGTGTCCCTGCAATTACTATGTTACTGGCTTTAGGTATGTTTGATTTCTGTTTGAACCTTCTTCAGCAGAGCCAATGCTGAACACATGTAGTCCAGTGCTTCCCAAACTATTTCCCACTGTGACCCCATTTAATGAGAATTCCATTGTAACCATGATTGCCAAGGTAGATTCCTGTTGGTTTCTTTGTAATTTTAATTTTTAGGGTATCTTCTTCTCAATGGGGTCCAAACAAGGCCGCAGAGTCCCAGCTCCCCCTTACAGTGTTGGTGGTGGTGGAGCGGGGAGGTAACCCTTAATGAACAAAGTATGCAGAGGTTGTGGTCCAGCCACACAGGCTGTCTGGAGATGGATTAAACTTAACTCAGTGATGGAAACACTCTCCCTGAGCCAGTGAATACTTCAGCCTGGCCTGAGTTCCCCAATGGATGCCAAGTCTGTACTTGTAGACTATGTTTTAATCATTATGAACTGGGCCTGGCTGGATTAGAGTTTAGACACTTCATCTTCTATCTGAGAAACAGGAACATAATCTCTGACTCCTCCTTTTTGTTTAAGCTGCTTAGATCTACTCTTCAGTCAAAGTGCATCCCATAATATATTTATCATCAAAAGATAGCAAGAGGAAAATAGATAATGACCAGGAGGGGTAGTTGAGAAGAGATGGCTAAAATTGTGGCTTGAGATAAATTTTAAAAAGGAAGACAGAGTTTTGGTAAGATGGATAAATGAGAGTTGATGGAGGGCAGACAATTTCAGATAATTGAGGACAACATTGAGGTAGTCAAGTCTAGAAATAATAAAGGTATGTGAGAGATGCTGACTTAGAGGTGAAGATGAGCAATGTCAGAGAGGTCTTGCTGATGGATTGGATATGAGGCTTTATATTTAGCTCAGCATTGAACAAGACACCAATGGCCTGGTTCAGCCTGAGCGAGGTCAAATAAAAAGCTAGCGTTATGTAAGCATCACCTTTCGTGACTGTGGGAGAGTGCACGCTCTGTCCCAACAGACTGAGATAGCCTCCATGATTGATGTACACTCCTGTCATTGAGCATAAGGTAAACAGAAAACAATTCAATAATAAAAAAGTGTTTTTGAAATAAGTGGCTGAGAGTTAACTGCCCTTGTCTGAGCTAACATGTTATGTTTTTCAGTGATTTTTGCACTGGGCACCCCTGAGTACAAGATTCATCCACCTACAGGAAACTTATTCTGCAAATTATTATATGCCACTGGGGTAAGTCACAAACCATTTGGTACATCATTGTCTGTGCTGGTCATGTAGTGTCTCATTTAACAAAATTAGCATGCTCCACTACCCTGAGTTGGTGGGCTTGTCCTTCCAATAGATACTGAAGATAAGTCTAAGACAGCAAACCTGGAAATATTCAGCATTTTCTCCTGCCTATCATGTGTTGTGGCCTCCTCTACATCGGTGAGACCCAGCGGAGGCTCGGAGACTGCTTTGAGGAGCACCCGCACTCTGTTCATGACAAACGACAACACCTTCCAGTTGTGAACCACTTCAACTCCCCCTCCCACTCCCGGACAAGATGTCCATCCTGGGCCTTCTCCAGTGTCACAATGGCGCCACCCAGAAACTGGAGGAGCAGCACCTCATATTCTGCCTTGGGAGCCAATGGCCTAAATGTAGATTTTACCAGTTTCAAAATCTCCCCACCCCCAGCATCATCCCATGACCAACCCTCCCTCTCATCCCCGCCTCCTTGACCTGACACAACCTGTCCATCTTCTCTCCCACCTTTCTGTTGCTCCTATCCCACTGACCAATCCCCACCACTGCCTACCTACATCACCTATCACCATCCCACCTACCTTCCCCAGCCCCACCCCTCCTCTTTCTATTTATTTCTGAGCTCCCTCCCCCTCCCCATTTTCTGAAGAAAGATCCTGACCTAAAATGTCAACTTTCCTGCTCCTCTGATGCTGCCTGGCCTGCTGTGTTCCTCCAGCTCCACACTGTGTTATTTCTGACTCCAGCATCGGCAGTTCTTACTATCTCCGACTTATGTGTCAAATGGAGCAAAGCAGCATGTAATAGACAAAGCTAAGCAATCAAATCTAATTAAGCTCTGCAGTCCTGCCACATCCAGTCATGAGTGGTGGTGGGCAATCAAACAACTCACTGAAGAAAGAGGTTCCAAAAATAACTCCATTTTCAATTATGGGAGAGCCCAGCACATCAGCGCAAAAAATGGAGATGAAACATTTGCAAGAATCTTTAGCAAAAGTGCCAAGTGGATGATCCATCTAAGCCTCCTCCAGGGGTCCCCAGCATCATAGATGCCAGTCTTCAGCCAATTTGATTCACTTCACATATGTCCTGTGTAGGAAAAAGACAGGGCACATCTATCCTGGCCAATTACCGTCCATCAGTCTTCTCTCAATCATCGGTAAAGTGATGGAAGGTGTCATCAACAGTGCTATCAAGCAGCACCTGCCCAGCAATAACCTGCTCAGTGACGCCCAGTTTGGGTTCCGCCAGGGTCACTCAGCTCCTGATCTCATTACAGCCTTGGTTCAAACATGGACAGAAGAGCTGAATTACAGAGATGAAGTGAGAGGAACAGCTCTTGATATCAACGCCGCATTTGACCAAGTGTATCATCAAGGAGCCCTAGCAAAACTGGCAATGGAAATTAGTGGGAAAACTCTCCAATGGTTGGAATCATACCTGGCGCATAGGAAGATGGTTGTGGTTGTTGGAGTTCAGTCTTCTCAGCCCCAGGACATCTCTGCAGTAGTTCCTCAGGGTAGTGTCTTATGCCCAGTCATCTTCAGTTGCTTCATCAATGACCTTCCCTCCATTATAAGGTCAAAAGTGGGGATGTTGGCCAATAATTGCACAATATTCAGCACCATTCTTATCTCCTCAGATACTGAAGCAGTCCATGTTCAAATGCAACAAGAGCTAGACAATGTGCAGGCTTGGGCTGAAAAGAGGCAATTAACATTTATACCATTCAAATTCCTGGAAATGACTGTCTCTTCTTGGAGACAATCTAACTGTTGCTCCTTGACATTCAATGGTATTACATCACTGAATTCCCCACTAACAACATTCTGGGGATTACCATTGACAGAAACTGATCTGGACTTGCCATATAGATACAGCAGTTACAAGAGCAGGTCAGAAGCTAGGAATACTGCAGTAAGTAACTAAAATTCTGACTCCCCAAAGGAATCCACAAGGCACAAGTCAGGGGAATACTCACCACTTGCCTGAATGAATGCATTTGCAACAACACTCAAGAAACGTGGCATGGTGAAATTACAACTGGTCTTGGGCCTGACATTACTTAATCAATGAGTGCTGTCCTGTTTGTGTTGAACAGAGTGCTATCGCAAACAAGATCAAATGGTACATGAGTAAGAAGAAGGGTGGAGCGAAGGAGCATTGGCTAGACTGGGCTGACCAGAAATATGAGGTAAGGCAACTCTATATATTTCCATTACTGTGAAAGCCCAACTTAATGGCAAGGCAGGTAAATCTCTGAAATGCCCACCGCTGTGCCAGTACCATGCACAGGACTGGATGACAGACCTTGAGATTTTTGAAATAGGCCAAGAAGGGGTGGGCTGAACTTTAGGATGGCTTCAGTTCTGCTGGAATTCCACCCCATTTACAATGGCCCTAAACATTCTGCTGCAGTGGGGTTAAGTGAGCTTTTATCATCAGTCTTTCAATGGTTTGCCACTAAGCAACCTTTATCTCCCAGTTATTTTATTACTTTCCTGCCATTATGTCTCTGTCCAGGTTCTACAAGAACATTTTACATTTTTGCTGTTCTAGCTTACTATGTTCCATTGTGGAATTTGAGGTGATGTTAAACATCCTGACGTTTCATTTGTCTATATCACTACCACATTTGTCTGGCAAGAGACATAATAAGCAATGTCAAAATATACAAGTCTCAGTCAGGGAGTCAGAGGGTAGTATCTGAAAAAGCAAACATTTGGAATGGGATTACAATTACAGTTGTGGACTGATGCCACATTCAAACATTCTTTTGGTATCTATATTTTTGTGAACATGGAAAGAGTAGAGCAGAGCATTCAGCCTCTCAAACCTCTCCTGTACTCAATTAGATCACATCTGATCTGTATCTCAACTGTATTTACCTACATTTGGTCCACACCCTTGATATCCTTGCTGTTCAAAATAAAAACTATTCATCTCAGTGTTGAGAATTTCAGTTGACACCCCCAGCATGCATAGGCTATTGAGTGGAAGTGGTTTCAGATTTTGTGTAAAAAAAAAAGTCTCTCTTGATTTAAATCCTGAATGACCTGGCTTTAATTTTAACTTTGGTCTGCTAAATTTCTGATTGTCCAACCAAAGCAAATAATTTCTTCATATTTATCCTGTCACATTGTTAAGCACCTCAATGACATCACCTCATATCGGTGCATAAAAATTCTATTGGACAGATAGTTGTTGGAAAGGCTAGCAAACTCCCAAGAGAATTGAAGGGCCAACACTAGCTGGGTTTCATTATACAGGTTATACTGAAGAATGGGTTAGTGAGATTTGACCTTTCCTTATTTTCCTACACACCATAACTCACTGGAGAGGGTGGAAAGGTAATAGGAATACAATTCTCCATTCATTCTGCTAGCAAAACAGCCACACAAATTTTTGCAACAGAAGGATAAACCATGTTAGAATATATCACATGGTCTTGAGAAAGGACCCTGATCTCAATAGGGATGTCAACTCTAGCTGGGTATGTATGTATATAATCACATGGCTTCCTGATGTTAATCACCCCACCTCCTTAAACAGCCATTTTCAGAGAGTGCTGCCTTCCCTCACCAATCAAAAACAGACTGTCCATTATCTCAGAGATAGTAGGAACTGCAGATGCTGGAGATGCCCCATTTCTGAAGAAGGGTCTAGGCCCGAAACGTCAGCTTTCCTGCTCCTCTGATGCTGCTTGGCCTGCAGTGTTCATCCAGCTCTACACCTTATTATCTCCATTATCTGATTGGTTATGTTATTGACAGAACCATTCTCCCTGCCTCAGATGTCTTTACAATTAATAATCAAAACACTCAATTTTTAAACACATAGTTGTTTTAAGGAACCTGAAGAGTGGACTTTAATTTCTAGAGCCTCCAGGACAATCCTGGAGACAACTCCATGACATGGGTGAAATGCTGGGAATAATTTGCAAGTGTTATGTTTGCTACTCACCTTTCTCTGTTTTTCAGAAAGAGATCATCAATGATGTGAAGCGGCTGTACAATGTGCTGGCGTTATACCCGTTGTTGCCAATGTACTGGGCACTCTATGAGCAGCAGGGCTCACGATGGACTCTGCAGGCCCAGGAGATGGATAGGAACGTGGGATCTATCAGACTGAAACCTGACCAGCTACAGGTACAGCCCCCTCAGGTTTCCCAGCGGTGAATGTGCTGGCTTGACTGATTCCAGGCATGGGAACAATACTTATTAACAACTTGAGGTGGTAACAGATGGATATGCTCTTTTATTCAAGGGGCAATCTCTCACATCTTGGTACAGACAATGGCTCATATAGTGACACTTTGACACATCCATTTGGAGAGTGTGGAACAATGAGATCAGATTTAGGTTGTTCTGGTAAAGAGTGTGAACCCTTAAGTTTATGGAGAAAACATGGATGATGGAATAGCAGAATGATCATTCGGCCATTTGGCCATTGTGCAGCTCAGCTCAGCCTAGCCCCTTCCCTTTCTACATAGCCCTGTGAATACTTTATCTTCAAGTGCTTATGCCTTTTGAAAGCTGCCTTTAACCTGCTTCCACCACATTCTCCAGCAGTGCATTCAAGATCCTAACCACTCGCTATGTAAAAAGGGTTTACAAGTCACTGATGGTTTGTTTGCTGTTCACATTATGTTTGATCTTCAGAGAATGGGAACAGTTTCTCGTAATAACTCCAACTCAGGTTAAACCAGTATTTTATGAAGGTTCCTTATCATGGATTAGTTCTCTCCCTCTATTTATAAAGCTGTTTATGCCTTTTAAACACTTTCTCAACTTTCCCAGCCATTTTGATCAATTTGAGAACATATACCTGCAGATCATTCTATTCCTGCATTCCATTTATAATTGTGCGTTTTATTTTGCATTTCCTCATTTTTTCCAACATAAATATAACACTTTTCTGCATTAAATTTTGTCTGCCACAATTCCCCTACCTGAAAATATCCTCTCAAAGTCTGTCATGATCCTCCTCACAGTTCACAGTATGTCCAATTTTTGTGTTATCTGTAAATTTTGAAATTGTGGCCTGTATATCCAAATCTAAGCCATTAATATAGATCAAGAACAGCAGCAGTCCTTGCACTGATAACTGGGGAGTTTCTCTGTACACATTCCTCCAATCCGAACAGCATTTGTTCACCATTACACTCTGTTTCCTGTCATTCATCTCATTTTGTATCCATGTTGCCATTGCCCCTTTTACTCCATAGGCTGCCTTATTATATGTCATCTGTTAAGTTCCAAGAAGGTCCAGAAGACCGAAGTGTTAAACAGCAGGAGCTTTATTAGGAAAATGTTCACTCTACAGGTAGCAAGTTTAGACTAGGCTGTTTCCTGTCCAAAATGGCCAATGATGTCATCATTACATCAGACCCTTAAGGCAGTCCACTATACTTTCACAATTGCACACTATCAAACACATTGACCCTCTCCATTACCTCTTCAAAATCTCAATTCTGTGAGTCAAACATGATTTACCTTTATAAATCCGTACTGGCTTTCCTTAATTAATCCTCAATTGTCCTGACTTCTTGATCTCCTGGATTATTGTTTCTAAAAGCATTTCCACCACAAAGATTAAACTGACCAGCCTGTAGTGTCTGGGAATATCCATTCACTATTTTTGAACAAGGGTGTCATATTTGCAATTCTGCAGTCCTCTGCTACCAACCCTGTGTCTGAGGAGGACTGAAAGACTATGGGATGTGCCTCAGCAATTTCCAGCCTTGGTTCTCTGAGTGATAATGAACACCTCTCATCTGTTCTGGTAAATTATTGACTTTAACTCGAGCCAGACTTTCAATATAAATCTTCCTTATAAATTGTTAGCCCATCCACTCTGAATACCTTCAGGTCTGTCGCTTTTATCTGTTAGCTTCTGGCAGTATTTTCCTTATACCTTCTCTCTATTCAGAGTCATAGAGAGAGGGTCATAAACGACAGAGTTGGTAGGGAGACGGAAATGAATCCACTAGCAGAGGAAAGTCAGGTTCCTTCCCAGCTCCAGATACAGCATGGAAAGGTTCAAAATCCTCAGTGAAAGGGGAAGGGAAATGAACTTCACATTTAGCAGGGAGGTGGCTATAAACCTCAGAGTTAGGAAGGATGAGGATTCCATCTTTCTGAAAGGTTCAAATTCTCACAGTCAGGGATATTATTCGAACTCATTCCCCTTCATTTATTAAAATGGTTTTTATTTGTTCCAGATTCTGAATGTTTTATTTGTGCTGTTGTTGTTGCCGCTATTTGAAGGATTCATCTATCCTCAGCTTGAGAAGAGAAAGCTTCTGATCCAGTAAGAATATCTATCTGTACTTCATCTATCCACCTGACCT